TATAATATGATATACTTATTTATAAAATACAAGATTTGATATCCAAATTTTCCCCATTAAAAGTGGTCACTGCGGCTAAACCCGAGGTTGTCTGGCCAAATAAAATATACAACCGTACTTCCTACAGAGTGTACTTTCGATTTATAACAATAATTCCCGGGTGCACTCTTGGCATTTTTTGAACATTATTATTTTATATGAATTTTTAATAAGAATTTAACAACAAATATCTTTAAATGTATTTTAATAATTGGTATATTTTAATAAGATTTTTGTATTATAAGTAATAGTAATTAGTAACTATATTTTTATTTAAACAATTCCCCCCGGTTAATTCTATATCCATAAAACTTATGCAAACAAATTACAAAATTAAAACATTTAAAACAAAGTTTTATTTTACATAGAAATGTATTAGACTTATAAATACATGTATGGCTCAACTTTATTTCAGTCTAATTATATATTTTTACACATTATATTTTAAGCGTCTATTTTAATCAATAATATTCTTTTAATTTTAAATAACTTATCAATTATTTTTTACCATATACACGGAATTCTGTGCTTAATAGTGCTTATAAGTAATATTTTAAAAATTATAACTAAATATAAAAACTATATAACTATATATTTGACTACATATAAATACATATATATCTATGATTTAGTAGTTTTAATGGAAGTTTATTGAAAGTTATTATTATGCAATGTTTATAATAACATCAGGTTTAATCAACATAATTTATAACTTTACATTTGCAACACCTAAGTTAAATATAGACCCGCCGTCGACCACCAGATTAGCGCCGGTAATGAATTGGGCGTCAGTGGAGGCCAGGAATGCGACCGCACGGGCGATGTCTAGGGGTTGACCCACTCTTCCCAATGGCGTCGCCTTTTCCATCACTACTTCGAGAGGGTTTGGAGGGTCTCTCACATGTATAACACCCGGACTATTGAATTCAATATAAAGTGCAAATTATTAAGTAAAACATAAAAGCGTTTATAATAACTTTATTAATAATATTCTTAATACCACTTACTTAACAGTATTGACACGAATACCTTTGGGCCCCAATTCCAGGGCTAATATTCTGGTTAACATATCCATACCTGCTTTGGCCGCACCATAGGCAATTGATAATTTGAGCTAAAAGCACATCAAAGTTAATAAGTAAGTAATTTGTAAGCAGTTAATTAGGTATTAATATGGTAAAAATTAATTTACTAATATTTATAGATAATAACAGCATATATGTTAACATAACCACATTCAAATGAATGAAAATATTTTATAAAAAGTAAATTTAATTATATTGAAAAATGAATGTTAATCAGGATAACTTTTTTTTAGAGATAGACTCTAATGTTAAAACTCATTCGTGACATTAAACCTAAGCGTTAAAAAGTGTATTCACCTTACTAAAATCATACATTTTTTTGTGATTGTTACTATTACAATGTTATCAAATACTATTAACGAGTTTTAATAGATGTTTCTTGATTAACATTCATATAATTTGAATAAAAAAATCCATTAAACAGTAAATACCGGTGCAATTCCAGCGACACTTGAAATATCAATAATAGTTCCGTTAGTCTTCTCCAGATGTGGAACCGATCGGTGAATGAGTTCTACGACAGCGCGTAAATCAATGCCAAATGTCTGATCCCAAACTGATAACACGTCCGGTGATGTAATGTTGTTAACCGGATATATACCGGCGTTATTGATCAACACATCTAATTTGCCAAATGTTTTGACTGTAGAATCGATTAAATTGTTTACATCAGAGCTTTTGGTCAAATCTCCCACAACTTCTAATGGCTGTTAGAAAATAATTGATTTTTTAGAAATTTATTATTTTTTAAATTTAAATTTCTAAATAACATACCTTTAATTTTAGAGGCGATAATTCCTGCACCTCTTTGGCCACTCGTTGGACGTCTTGTGCTTTTCTGCCGTTGACCACAACATTAGCCCCTAATATTGAGAACAGTTTAACGATTCCCTCTCCGATGCCCGACGAGGAACCGGTCACTAAAACCACTTTCCCCGTGAAGTTACGGGACTTTGCGACCGCTTTATAGTCCTCTATAGGATAGTCTGCGCTCACAATACAAACCAATCCAAACATCAATGCTATTAAGAATTTCATATTTTATTTATTTATAAAATGATATAAAATTAATATTAAGTCAATTAATTTAATTAATTAATTTTTCGGATTAATTTATTATTTTTGAGTGAATGATGTATATATAGTTTAGCAAACATTAGCACTAAATTCACTTTATTCTAGTGCTAATGGATAACAATATCTACTACTCAATGGATCAAATGATCTTTTTAATAATTAAAGTACTCGTTAGTACTCTTTAAGTACTCGAATATTGTTTTATATACCTTAGAAATAATTCTATATAATATTATACAGATACTGTAACTAGTTGTTCATAAGTGTAAAAATATTTAGCTAATAGTAAATGTATTATAAATAGACCTTAGGTCATAATATAATACAAGCTTATCAAGAAGATTTACTTTGCATTAAATCAAGTAATTCGTGCTTTTAAATTTATCAAGTTTGTACTAATTATTTGAATTATGATTAGATTAAATAATATAAGAATATTTTTACCAAATAATAGTAATAATAGTTTAAAAACAATTTAATCAATATATTTCTATTCTTTTCTCGCACAAATACTCAATTAGTAAAACATAACAAATGTTGCATTTTATAATATTAATTAAACTTACTTTTAATCAAACTTTTAATTTGATTTATGATCATTAATGTTTTAAACAATTTATATGATTTGACAGCTTGGTTGAAAATTGTGATTGTGATAGTGCATAATAAACTACTGTATATAATTAATAAAAATTAAATGAATATGTATATTTAACAATTAATAAATGTTGATCGAAAAATAACTAACAAAAGTATTTTATTTTTAAAATTATATTATAACAAATCAATTACAACAATTAAATATAAAACAAGTTATATTAAACAAGTTAAAATCTTTTACACTGTATTAATCACACCATTTGTGAATTCAAAGCCTCCGTCGACCACAATATTAGCGCCGGTAATAAAGTCTGAGTCAGTAGATGCCAGGAATGCGACCGCACGGGCAATGTCTAGGGGCTGACCCACTCTTTTCATTGGCGTGTATTTTGCATATATCGGTTCGTATGGGTCTTCTTTCACGTGTATAACACCCGGACTATTGAGTATTTGTGCGAGAAAAGAATAGAAATATATTGATTAAATTGTTTTTAAACTATTATTACTATTATTTGGTAAAAATATTCTTATATTATTTAATCTA